TCATTTTCAATAATTAAAAAGAAAACGTTATACGAGCTGAGTTATTCCCTAATACATGGCATGGATAAATTGTATTGTTAGAATATATGTTAATATATATTATATATATTATTATACATATATTATATATTTATAATATAATAAAATTATTATAACTAAAATAAAAATTCAAGCTGATAGCTACAGACACCTCGGGAAATCCATTACATCCAATTTTTAGCTTCACTGAAAACCACTTTTTAACTTTTTTAGTTAGCAGTTTCTGATATAATCTATAGTATTTATTAAAAATCTTTAGAAAGTAGTTTATGCTGTTTGCGAGGGTATACCAAGTTATTAACTCTGACTCGTTGCATTCATTTCTTTTTCCAATAAACGAGTGTGATAGGCATATTGATATTCAGGTATGATAGTTATTGTGTTATCTTCTATTAAGTTATTTTATGCGATGTGACAACAAATTTTACCAAATATTGATTCTACATTTTTTCAAATTTTTTATTACACTTTTTTTTATCCATTTTTTCTGTGACAGCAGGTGATATAATCTATATATAATTGGATACGATTATATGGACTTTCATATATAATTACATACAATAATTTTTGATTAGAGAAAATCATTTTTTCCCAGATAATAATAATTATATTTTAATACATTGAAACTTTTATACGTGGTCGCTGTAAGAGTGAGTTTGCCGACGTCTTCAATGTCTTACACCATCACTGCCTTATAGATTTGTGGATAGGTAAATCCTTTGACTTAAAACCTACACTCCTGAAAATTTTTTTGAAAACTTCAACTTTATTTAAGTGCACAGCAACTGAAGATGCAAACTCGTGCAAAATTTTGCTATACTTTAATCGCAGTCAAAATAATCGATTAAATTCTCTTGTTTAATCGCTACTTCGAAGCGCCGCGTAATGAACAGTAATGTTCGTTAAGTGTGGCCTCATTTTTTCCCAATTAAATCGCACAACGGATTTTTATTCGGTTTTTATACATTTTTACGCTGCTCATGGTACGATTATGTGGTAAAATCATTTCAAAATGTGTATCGCAATGAAGCAATTTTGTAATTTAAGCTATATATGAGTTTAAACTAAGAGATGCACTAATAAAAAATAATATTCACCAAAAAAAATAAAAAAAATATATAGCAAAAATAAAATAAAATTTCTTAACGCGTGAAATCAAATTTCTGCTATCGGATTTCGATGTATGAACAAATCTACTTGAATTTATGAATAAAGCATTTGCAAGTAAATGCATAAAGTGTGTAAATTAACTAACTTTTCACAATAAACATTTTTTTCTTTTACATTCATTAAGTGACAAAACCAACTAACAGGGAATATGGATTACAATTCGCGGTACGGAGTCAACAAATCTGAGAAGAATTGCTTTATGACGAAAGCATAAAGATATTTAATACATATATTCATTTTCATATTCATAAAAGTTGGAAAAAAAATTAGCAATCTTAATTAAGTTTAATACTAATAAACTAATTTTATTTGTTTTTTTCTGAAAATTACATATGATTATCTAAACTAAACGAATCTTTCTGACGAAATATATTCTGCTTTTCCTAAACAGAATAGAATTCTGATTTTGTGTGAGATCCATAGAATTTAACGATTAATGACAATGGGATTATTGAATCATAATAATAGGAAATTAAATCCTTATATTATACACACAAAATCCATCAATGTAATATATGGTAATGTAGTTTGCTATGAAATTAATCACTTAATATCAAGAGTGTATGTAATGAAAATATATGTGAACCATTAATTGCCACCATCAACAATCCGTCATCTAAATCTAAATAGATCTCTTTCATCCTTTTCAATAATAGCAATAAAGACTTAAACACAAAATTTCAGCAGAATATTTATACTGATATATTGATAAATGCAAGAAACGATGTGATTAAGGAAATAAGGTTAAGAAAGAAATATATTCTTTTTAAAAAATATTCCTTATCATATTATTTATAATATAAAAAGTAACAAGCCCCTATTATTAACTAAGGAAATCATTCAAATCCTTGAGTACAAAGATTTATTGATTTATTAATTTGTTGTTCAAATGATATCCTAACTAAATCCCTTCAAACAAAGTTACTAAGACCCTTGCATATAATAAAAGCAGAGTCTTTATACTAAATCACTCCATTAAGTTAAATAGTTTCACTTTCTATTAGAGAAAGCAGCCATTAGTCGAATAGTCATGCAAGAAAATTGAACTATATTAAAAACTAAATCGGATTTCAAGTTACCAATCTTTTGTCATTGGAATAATTTACTAAATGATTATGTTATGTACAATAAATTTTGGTAGAAAGAGAAAGACTTTTTTAAGAGCCCACAGAAAGTGAATCGGAGAAAAGAAAATCTGATATATTTTCTTGATCAATCCTAACTATTACTAGCTCGATCTATAGAAATCTGAAAATTTCTTATTGATGGCTTCGGCTGGGTTGAACTATAGTAATAGGATTGTGATTTACTTTCACAAAAAACGATTATCGTTAGTTGTACAGATAATCTTAATTATTATTGAATCGTTCTAAAGAAATCTGAGAATTTCTCATTGATGGTTTGGGCTAGGTTGAACTATGATAAAAGAAACTAGGAAACCGTTAGTAAAAAAATGAGATCCTGATTTTGCAGCATTAACTGAAGCAATTTTTGTTTTCTATCAAGAAAACGTTCCCATACCCATTTCACAAGTCAGTCGTTAGGAGTTACAGGAGCAGTGCAAAAATTTTTGAAGAGAGGTCAGATGTAAAATTTTATTGAAAAAATATGCGGAAATGAACTCAGACACTTTATTCCAAAGATGATAGATCTCTTTTTGACAAAACAATCTACAGAAAACAAAAATTTTGCAAAAAAATATATATACAGAAATAAGGAAATTTTAAATAACACTTCTCTAGAAACACATAAAGGTAATTACAATAATTAAGTATAATGCAAAAAGATACTACTTATTAGGATATGCTTTATAACCCACATTCAAAACCTCGATCCCTCTTTTTGCTACACTCCTGCTAAGAGATAAAATCAGCTATTATTGAATGACATATGGACGCAATATATCGACCTGTTCGAAAGTTATAATCGTTTGAAGTTACTTGTAGTTAAATTGGGCAATCCAATTATAAATAAATGTTTTTAAATAGATTTTATCTTATTAAACAGTGATGTTGCATTACTAATAAATACACAAATTAATGAATTGAGTTCATTGATTCCTCTTGGGAAATCTTTGGCTCGTCAATCATCCTTATTAAACAGTGATGATGCTTTAATAATGAATATAGCTTATCGATTATTTTTGAGTAGTCTGCGGTCCCTCAGTCATCCTTATGAAACAGTGATGATGCATTAATATTAAATACACAAATGAATGAATATATAGTTTATCGATAATTTTTGGGGAGTCTTCGGTCTCTCAATTATCGTTAAAACTACGTCTTTGCTTAAGGTAGTACTACTGAAATTTTTATTATCAATAAATCGAGAGTTCCGTTGCGTTTATTTTTTCTACAAAATCGACTATCATTGGGTAAAATTTAGAAGTATAATATTGCTACCAGTTCAAAAGTTGTAATAGTTTGAAGTTAATTATAGTTCCAGAGAGCGATCCTGTTATATCTATTAAAATCTTAAAGGCAGGTTTTGTTTTTTTAATGTTTTAAACTTTTATTTCGAACGTTATGTTTGTGTATTTCTACACGTATTTCGGCAAATTCGATTTTGCCTAATATTATATTGAAATCTGTTTATCACAGTTTAATCTTTCGGTTTAGACTTGGAACTTCGAGGTACCTGTAGGCCCTTGATCCCTCCTCTGGCTACGTGTCGCTTAATGGTAGAACTTTGATATTTTGAACTTCAATTAAACATTATTTTAATTGCAGATATTTGTTTATTATCTTGTAGTTCTAAACATCTTCTGGTTTGAAGTCAATCACTAACCTCAGCTCATGTATATAAAAACTGTTTAAATGACAAAGAATTTATGTTGCAAGTTTTGCAATGAAATCGATTTTGCACCACAGTTTTTGCCCCAACACCTTTAAGTGGTCGTTTACCGATTTTCCTATAATTATAAGGCGCAATTGTTTCTTTGTGATGCAATCTTTTGCATGCAACAATAACAACAATAATTGCAATTGCTGCATATACTTAAGCATGCACTTGCTTATTAGTGTGAGTTGTGTGTGTGTGTGTGTATTTTGTATCTATGAAAGTATTTGCAGGTTGCATAATCTAAACGAACACATAAAATATGCAATCGATGAAGTAACCAACAAATACCCAAACGAATACAAATCCGGACTCTGAGCTTTTGAGACTGACTTGTGTTGCGCACGCTCAATTGCATGGCTTGAAACATTAAAAACTGTTACAAATAAAAGTGAATAATAGAAAAAGCGAAAAGAAAAAAAAAATTAGAGAAAAAAAATTAAAAAAAAAACAAAAATTGAAGAAAAAAAAAATATTGCAGAAAGCTAGTTTTTCTATTATTTCGTAGTTGTAACATTTTTTTTTTCTATGGATGAGTTAACTGCATTGCTTTTTGTTTTGCTATTGTGTTTGTTGTTGTTGTTGTTGCTGTTACTGTTGGTTTTGTTGTTGTTATTGTTATTAATTGTTGTTTTTACAATTTGCATTGTTTTGTGGCTTTTTATGCAAGTCACTGTCACTTTCACTGTCAGCTTTGCGCTTTGATACTTTTGCCCAAAGCTGTTGCGGCTTCGTCCAGTGGCGGTAGCCGCGGTTTGGCTAGGTCAGTTACAACCACTTAAATAGATCGTAACGAAACGCAACGGAAAGTGAGGCTTGACATTAATAACTAACAACAACAGCAACAACAGTGACAATAGCGACAATGTCGCACAACTACAAAAACAAAAAAAAACAAAATCAAAGAAGAAAAAGAAGAAAATAAAAGTCAGTGAGTTTTTTTTTTTAGGTTTTTAGTTACTTTAACTTATTAAGTAGAAAAAATAAAATACTTAAACTAAAAATATAACACATTTGGCTTATATTAAAAAATAAAAACATTTCTGAGTAATGTTTTATTTTTTGTCGTATTTTTTCTCCTCCTCCTCCTCCTCGTCCTCTTTGTCTCCTCCTCGTCCAGCTCAACGTGAATGCGTAAAGACTTTTAGTTGCTCTATGATGAATGTTTGCAATAATTTTCACTATTGCGGTTGCAGTGTTTATTGGTTTTGCGGTTGTTGTTGTTGTTGTTGTTGTTGCTGTTGTTTTTATTAATATTGTTGTTGCTACAGTTGTGATTGGATTAAGTATTGTAAGTTCACTCGTTGACATGATCTGTAATAGTTTGGCTTAATCGTGATGATGGTAATTATGATAGTCATGATGATAGTCATGATGTTCTTCCTTATGTGGAATAATTGGCACTTCAACGTGATATTTCTCTGGTATTGGTATTTCCCTATGAACTGGTACCTTTACTTCAGAATATACTGGATATGGTTTCTCGATTGGTACTTTAACTTCATATGGTACTGGTTTTTCGACAGTGTATGGTACCTTCTTTTCAACAGTGTAGGGTTGTGGTACTGGTACTTTAACATGTACTGGATATGGTTTTTCAACTTCGACTTTGTATGGTTTGTCGACGGGTACTTTAACTTCATATGGTACCTTTTTCTCTACAACAACTGGATATGGTTTTTCCACTTCAACTGGATATGGTTTTGGTACTTCAACTGGGTATGGTTTTTCTACTGGTACCTTAACTTCATATGGTACTTTCTTGATAACTTCATATGGTTTTGGTACTGGTACTTCAATTTTAACTTCATATGGAATCTTTTTGATAACTTCGTATGGTTCTGGTACTGGTACTTTAACTTCATAGGGAATCTTTTTAATCACTTCGTAGGGTTGTGGCACTGGTACCTTGACTTCGTATGGTTTATCAACTGGTACTTTAACTTCATAGGGCACTTTCTTTTCAACAATGTATGGTTTAGGTACATGTACTGGTACTTTAACGTATTCCTTGACATGTACTGGTACTTTCTTTTCAACAATGTAGGGTTGTGGTACTGATATTTTAACTTCATATGGAATTTTCTTTTCTACAGTATATGGAATATGTTTAGTCACTGTATATGGTACTGGTACTTTCTTTTCAATGGTCACAGTTTTGATGTGCTCATGATGATGATGATGCCCATAATCACCCAAATATAAACCACGCTTTTCCACAGTCTTGCCTTCTTCAGATGCAGCAGCTACGGCAGTTGCTTTATTATCCTTTGTGGCGGCTTCTTCGGCAAAGGCCAATGCCACGCACAAGGCGAGACAAGGAAGAACAAACTGTAAGACAAGAAAAACACAACGTTGAAAGGATATACCAAGTAAACATTATTCATATTTATTTTAACACAATAATAGGTGGCTTTCATTTTAGTTTTTGTATTATTGCACTTAAAAAATATATAGAAATTATTTTTTAAATTTTTTTTTTATAATTTTAAAAAAAAATTTAATTTTTTTTTTTGCACTTTTAATATCACATATGTACAATTTTTTTTTTAATTCTATATATTTTTAATTTTAACACTCTTCAAAGAAATTAATTCAAAAATCCACTTGAAATTTACCATTCGCATTGTTGAGCTGTTAGAGTAACGGTTTAAGAGGAAACTATTTCTATGAATTTGTTAAGCCAATAACGAGATCCAAGTTGGGACTGATTTGTTGCATATATAAAGCCAGCTATATATACAAAAATTTTGGTCTATCAACATTCACTATTTTGCCATTGTTGTTTTCAATTTCAATTTCAGCTTCTGTTTCTGTTTATGCTAAAGTCTCTATTTGAGCTCGGCTTGTGTATATTGCGGCTTGCGTTTTCACGCTTGGCGCGGAGTGCAGTAAAAACAAAGCTTTACAACGATCTCGGCTGTAACAGTAGCGACTGAGCGAGTTTTCATGGTATTTTGTTGTCGATGATGTGTTACAGACCGTTTCGTCCATTACTCCATTAAGCCAAGAGGTTATTACACATCAAACCAAAACATATTAAATATATTCATGCTCTTATTAAATTCATATCAAAATCGGGAAAAACTCGTTGTTATATCAACGACTAGTTTCGATATGTGGCGTTGCATATGGATTTCATATCCTAACAAATGAAACATAGTGTAACGGAAATGGTTTCCAATTTTCTCTCAGCATTGTTGTTGTACCATGGTTACCTTGATTCATTAGGTTACAGTGCTGCTAAAAATTTAGTGTTATAAATTTTAAATAACAACAATTATTGATAAAAGCGAGCTCATAATTTTTAATTATGCATGAATTAAACATTTCGTTAGACAAACAATTTCAGACTTTTTCGGTTTTATGCTTCAATTTTAAATAAAATCAGCGCTAATGTACTTATTATCTTTCTTAAAAATAGATCTGTAATATTTTGTAAAAATTTAAGTGAAATTAAAATTGTTGTGTATTAAAAATCCAGCAAGAGACCATTAAAATGAGGCACTGAGACCATTTTATGCCACTTTTAGATATCAGAAACGCTTTAAATGCTTAACATAATAAATGGATTCAATTAAATATAAAAAAGAAAAAACATGAAAGTATTTGAAAAGAAATGCCGACAGCTATTGCATACAGCACAAGGATTTATTGATGAAAAAATCATATATAATTTATTTAAATTTTGTATATTGAGGAAGCAATACCTATAGCTCTTAAGTAATCTCTGCAAAGATCTGCACCAGAATGAACACAGTTTAAGCACAAAAAGAAACTAGGACGTGTACCATTCGAAGCAAGGATATTTTAAATGTAAAGGTTGGGTAGAAGAGACCTACACAATATAGAAGTACATATTGGTTCTTAAAAAACTACTAACAGAACAGCCTTCCAAAATCCTCCATTCTAGAAATTTAAAAAACTTCAAATTTATATGGATCAATATAACTAATCCATAAATAAAAACATGAAAACATCTCAGTGTTAAAATTAAGTTAGATTAAGGAATGAAATTCAGGTAAAAATCAACCTCTAGAGGTTGTAACAATAAAAATATTAAATGAATGTATACTATCTCAACGAAATAGAGAAATTAATAATAAGAAGGTTTTACTTCCTAGTATCACAGAGCTTAAATATGTATAAAAAAAACTTATACGCATGGATTCTAATTGCTACCATCTTCATCTAAAAGAAACGCAATATTATATCTATAATTCACCAAATTCCTAAGCCACAAACGGTTAATAGCATACCAACCGCTGTGCCTAGAAAAAAAGTGCTGATTCATAAAATAGCTGCCCAATTTAAAATAAGTTCCAGACTTAAGTTTATATATCTCTAATATTTATAAGCATGATACTGTAGATAGTCTTAATTTTTTTTCAATTTTGGGAATCATTTAAAAGATATTGTTGAAAGAGTAGCTACTATCAGGTTTGCGGTTATAGTTGTGGTTATAGGTATAGTATGTGGTTATGCGATTATACTGATAGGTGCAATCACGAAGTAATTTTTTGTCAAAGCCCAAAAACTTTCGTTGCATCAGAACTGATGAAGAATTAGATGAGAATTAACAAAGCTTGATTTTGACGTAAAATTTATGGTATTACTCTACGGGAAAAGGAGCCATATTTTAGAGCCATGTAATTGTCTTTTATGATAACTTAATAAGATGGAAGAGTTTGTCAAATTTTTCAATTACTATAGTACTCAAGAAAAGAACCGAGATGTTTTTCGAGAGATAGCTGAAGTTCAAACAGATACAACGTCTCCTAGCATTCTCTTGAACTTATTCTTCCTCTTTGTAGCACTTAGAATCAGAACATATTCCTTTGAGAGATAACTTAACGACTATAAAAAGTTTTCTAAACAGATAAAAGTGATGCCATGTGCTCTCTTCAATTTTTTTTTTTTGTACATTATTTGTAATGTCATTATTTGAGTCCAAAACATATAACTTAAAATTTTGCTTGAAAATGTATAAGTGCGATTCTGTGGCAACGTTTTGGTTTTCTTTTTTTTTAGACAATATCTAATAATATCGACCTTCTTTTCGTAATGCAACGCAACGGTCTTAGTTGTTTCAGCAGGCACTTGTTGTAACGTTTTTTAATATTCCATATCAGTGCACTTTGTAAAGCACTTTAGAATTTTTACAAGCACTATTTTAGTTTAGTTAAGTTCTTAATAATTTTTTTCTTAATAAACATTTATTTTGATTCAACTTAATTAATAGCCATATATTATTTGTCTGACAACTTTGAAGTCTAATGAAGAATAAACTATTGAGCACATTTTCCCTTAATGCAATTAGTAATGAATACTACTTAATAATACTACTAAACCTTTCCATATTAAACTCCACTACACAGCAATACATTTACTCTTTGTTGGTATTGGCAGGTACTCAATCTACATACTGTTTGCGGAATTTCACAGCTACGCAAGATAACGCAATGACAGACATTGACATCACAAAGTAAACTGCTTCCGTGCTTACAATTCCAGTAATTGAATACCTTTCATTGCGGCGGTGAAGAGAGTGAAATGGGCAGACGAGTAGACGTATCTAACAGATGAACGTGCTGATTTGCAGATTATGTAAATAAACTTGAATGCATTTCTATTGTCAATGACTAGATAAAGTATCAAATTAGAGGAAAGTGAAATGGTAACATTTTCATTTTGCATTCAAAACAAAAAAAAAATGTCTTACAATAAAAAGATACATAAATAACAAAGTGAAGTTGAATTTAATTTATAGTTCAAGTATTTTTTTATTATTATGACCGCAATTGGAATAAGTGTATATTTAATACATTGTAATTTATTGTTTACGGAAATATATATATTATAAACAAAAAAAAAAAAGGAAACCTTACAAAATGACACTAGAAATATCAAGTTAAAGAAAAAATTAAAGATATGCGATGATTGACATATATAAAACACAAAGCTACATTTCATTTATATGGACCATAGGCATATTGGAATGGTGTTAATACCAAAAATAAATCCTAATAAATAAATCCTGTAATATTTGAAAAGGGTACAGTAATCTATGCAATATTTTCTTTAGAGGACATAGTATTGACTAAATAGATTTTCATCTCATGAAGTTGATGGATAGATAGTACCACATAATCCAACGACTTCCAAACAATATTGCTTGGACTAATCAGATCCAGTAGTTCAAGCAAATCTGTGGCAAATTATCAACTTTGATGATATTCTCATGAGTGTTGAAGCCGTTGAACATGGCACTTGTAAGTACTACCTCTTGGAAATAGTCCCAGATGCCACTCAAACCGTATCAATATCGACTGTCTTTACTTATTTTTTTTGAATTTGCTTAGCTTTCTTAATAATCCTTTCATGTCTTAAGCTCATTCATCAAGCCTTTCATGTCTTTAGTTCTCTCATAGAGCCTCAAAATTGTTTTATAAGTAAAGGTTCCGTGTTAAACAAGGGTATCTATGGGGTGTAATTGAGTTAGTTAATAAGTTTTAAAAGTAAAGAACCGGTGTTAAACAGGATATACCTGAGTTAATCAATTAAATCGATTAACATAACATTAATTTAACTTAACTATATGTACATATAAAACATTCAACGTAAAAATCATATAAAAAATTATAGTTTTTGAAAATAATGTAAAATTTTTTTACAAATTTAAGATGAATTATTTATATTAAATGTTATTTTTCCTCTCTCGTATAACAAAAATGGTACTCAAATATAAATATTAACAAGTTTTTTTGTTTAAGTTCATGAAAAGATTAAAACAAGCTTCGCATAAAATAAATTATTTAGGATATGAAACTATTAAAACTAATTCTTCCTACTAATGCTAAGATATATAACCTATTATTAAATAAAAAATAAATGTAAAATTAATTTAAAATAAAAATTTGCAACGTAACTATTTATTTGCAACCAGTCACTGACTTGCCATTTCTTATCCTGAAGCGTTTATTGGATAACTTCAATCATTTTTAACTGCGTTTTATTAACAAAAGTTGCAATAAATTTTATAATTTTTATTAGAGATATATAAAAAAAAATTTTTTTAATTCTTTTCCACCTTTAGGCTCACTGTTCAACAAAACATGTACCCATTATTTAATAAAAAATATTTAATTTTAATTTCCAAATACTAATGAACCTTAGGATCTTAGTCCTACAACTTGTTTCAAAATAAAATTTAAAAATAATTATTGTTTCATAATTATAATTTAAAGTCAACAATTAAAGTATTATTAACTTTTTGGAAATAAAAACAAAAATAAAATTATTTCGTTATTGAAATAAAATTTTATGAGTTTTATAAAAAATTTGTCTTAAATACAATTATTAATTTTTTTTTATTTTATTATATATTAATTTCAAAATACAATTTTAAAAACTATGAACTATTAATCTGTATTAAGAATCGTTATCGATATTTAAATAAATAAAATATTCTGCAATACTATAATTTGCTATACCTGGCAATTATTATATTATATTTCTTAATTTTGTTGACTTATAAAAAGCACTTGGAGTACTTACAACTTTTAAAACATATACCTACATTATAATATTAATTTTATTATCTGACGATCTACAAAGTCGCAAATATGTACAGCAGAGTATATTTGGGACTTTCTTCGCTACTTTCCTAGAATACTACGATATAGCCAGTATCTATTTCAAGTATTCATT